TTCATATGAGTCCAAACATCCAGTGGTTCCAGAACTTTAGGAAATGAGAGTTAGAAACTGTCTTCATGGGTAATAATCACTCTTGTAAGGTTCAAGGCATAGGAAACATAACCATTAGGTTAAATAATGGTAAAGTCATGATGTTAACCAGAGTAAGATATATACCTGACCTTAAAAGAAACCTGATTTCCTTAGGAACTTTGGATGAAGCTGGATGTAGTTATAAGGCAGAAAAAGGGTTCATAGTTGTGTATAAGAATAATGAAATTTTGCTTGAAGGGGTCAAACAAAATGGGTTGTACATTCTGTGTGGTCAACATTGTGCATTCACTATAAATTTTGCTTTATCATCTACTAATCTGACTACTAGAGAGAAATGGCATTTGAGACTTGGCCATATAGGCCAAAAAGGTATGACAGTGTTAAGCCAACAAGGCTATTTTGGTAAGGAATCCATATCTGAATTAACTTTCTGTGAAGTGTGTGTGTGTTAGGAAAACAGCACAGAATGAGTTTCCAAACGGGAACTCATCTGGCTGAAAAAGGGTTGGATTATGTAGATGCAGATCTTTAGGGTCCTGAAAGGGTTAGAACACATAGAGGGAATTGCTATTTCCTCTCCATTGTGGATGATTATAGCAGAAAGGTATGGGTGTACCTGCTTAGGTCCAAAGATGAAGCCTTAACCAAAGTTTAAAGACTGGAAAAACCTGGTTGAAAACCAAGTTAACAGGAAGGTGAAAACCTTTAGGACAGACAATGGCTTGGAATTCTGTAATCAGGAGTTTGACTCTTACTGTGTAGAAGAGGAAATCTTGAGGCATAGGATAGTTAAGGGAACCCCTCAGTAGAATGGGATTGCTAAGAGAATGAATAGAACCCTTCTAGAGAGGGTTAGATGTCTCTTATTCACAGCTGGTCTACCAAAAACCTTTTGGGGGGAAGCACTAGGTACAGCAGCCTATCTTATAAATAGGAGCCCTTCTAGCTCAATAGACTTTAAGTGCCTTGAAGAAAAATGGTCTGAAAGGAGACCATTTCTTGAACACCTAAGAGTCTTTGGATGTGCTGCATATGCACATACCAGGGATGGAAAGTTAGAGCCAAGATCTCTTAAGTGTATTTTTTTGGGATATCAATAGGGAACTAAGGGTTATAGGCTGTGGGAGAGGGCTGCCCCAGGAGTTAGGGTAATTGTTAGTAGGGATGTGATTTTTAATGAAACAGTTTTTCCTTGCAAATCTGGTACTAACGGTGCAGATAGCTCACAAGAAGAGTCTGAAACTTCTAGACAAACTAGGACAACTCAGTTTGAGGTGGAGGCTGAAACTAATCTTTATCAATACATCCAAACAGATGAGACTGATCCACTTGAAGATCAACCACAACAAAATCAAGATCAGGAGGATGAAGATCACCCTACTGACAATGCTGAAGTGGATCAGCATGGCAACCTGGCCCAATATCAGTTAGCCAGGGACAGAGTCAGGAGGGAGATCAGACCTTCTGCAAGGTACAGCTATGCTGACCTGATCTATACAGCACTCTTGGTTGGTTCAGAGATACATCAATCAGAACCCAACACTTATGATGAGGCAATGAGTTCAAGGGATAGAAAAGAATGGGTGGCTACTATGGAGGAAGAGATGGAGTCATTGTACTCAAACAAAACCTGGACACTAGTTCCAAAGCCAAAAAATCAGAAGTTGGTGGAGTGCAGATGGTTGTACAAACTGAAAGAAGGGATAAATGAATCTGACCCACCAAGATTCAAAGCAAGGTTAGTGGCTAAGGGCTACACTCAAAGGGCAGGTATTGATTTCACTGAAATATTTTCTCCAGTAGTTAAATTTAAAATTATTAGAATCATGCTAGCAATTGTTGTTCAATATGACTTAGAGATAGAACAACTGGATGTTAAAACTGCTTTCTTGCATGGTGAATTGGATGAGAAAATATTCATGAGTCAACCTGTAGGTTTTAAGGATAAAAAACTGCCTGATTATGTATGCTTACTGAATAAATCTCTGTACGGACTTAAACAGTCCCCTAGACAATGGTACAAGAGGTTTGATGCATTCATAATAGGAAATGGATTCACTAGAAGCATATATGATAACTGTTTCTATTTTGCCTGTATGAATAACATGCCAATCTATATCTCTTGTTATATGTAGATGACATGTTAATAATTAGCAAGTCCATGTCTCAAATTAATGCTTTAAAGGCTAAATTGAATACTGAATTTGATATGAAGGACTTAGGGAAGGCAAAGAAAATACTAGGAATGATGATCGATATAGATAGAAGTACAAATACTCTTAAACTCCATCAATCCTCATACTTCCAGAAACTGGTCTTAAAATTTGGTATGAATGAATCCAAAGCAGTGACAATGCCCTTAGCAAACCATTTCATACTTAGTAAGTCACAATCCCCAAAAACAAAATCAGATAGACTGAAAATGGAGAATGTCCCTTATTCTAATGCCATAGGTTCTATAATGTATTCCATGATATCCACCAGACCTGATTTAGCATATGCAATATCACTATTAAGCAGGTTCATGTCAAATCCTGGAAATGAACATTGGAATGCTTTAAAATGGTTGATGAGATACATTAATGGCACTATTCAAATTGGTTTAATTTTTTGTAAAAGATATGCATCACTTGATCTAGTTGGGTATGTAGATGCAGATTTTGTAGGTGATAGAGACTCTAGGAAGTCCACAACTGCTTATTACTTTACACTGGGAGGCAACTGTGTTAGTTGAAAAGCACAGTTGCAACCTCTAGTTGCACTATCCACTACTGAAGCAGAGTACGTAGCAATTTCAGATATATGCAAGGAAGCAACATGGTTGCAAGGGATTCTGAAAGAAGCTAATCTGTTGAATGGCACAGCAACAGTTTACTCTAACAGTCAAAGTGCCATCCATTTGAGTAAGAACCCAGTGTATCACGAACGAACAAAACATGTGGATGTCAGGCATCACGTTGTTAGAGACCTGATTGCAAAGGGAGAAATTAATCTTTTGAAGGTGCCTACTGAAGAGAATCCAACGGACATGGGAACCAAAGTGGTGACCACAGCCAAGTTCAAGCACTGCTTGAACTTGCTTCACATCAGATAAACACTTTCTTTTAGAGCTTAGAAGAAATATGGGATAGCTTATTGCACTAAAAAAGGAGTCCAGCAATGGAAAAGAAGGAAGTAAATAAATGAAAGGAAGAAAGTTGGCTTCAAGGTGGAGACTAAAAAATAATGTGAAGCCAAAATGATGTCATTTCATTTAAGTTCATTGGTAGAATTCTAGCCGTCAGATCAAGACAGATCCAAAGGCTAATATTTACTGATATGGGCATATATAAAAGAAGCAACAGTGATGTGAATAAGTAACGTGGTTTTGTTAATCCGAAATTAGGGTTCGTGAGAGAAAAATAGAGAGCAACTAGGATTGAGTATTTGCTGGGTCTTTCTGGGTATAATCTGTGTAGCTTTGAAGAGGGTTGCGTTTCCTTCTTGAGGCTGGTTCTTGTCCTCTGTTTCTTGCAGATTATTGAGAGATTCTTGAGTGAATAGGCCTAGGTTGAGGGTTGATCTATTTTGGCAGATTTGTATGGTTGTCTTCTTGTAATCGTTGGATATTCTTTTAGTGTTGTGAGTATCCGTATTTTAGAACTCAACGTGGATGTAGTCTATCCAAGATTGGATAGACGAACCACGGTAAATTTGTGCCTTGATTTTGTGTGTGTGTGGTTCTTTGATCTTGAATTTTGTTTGTGTTGCGAATTGGTTAATTAGGCTTGGATTATAACATATTTGTTATCCCTTAATAAGAAAATAATGTGTTTATATACTAAAATTATTAAGAAATAATGTGTTTATATACTAAAATTATTAAGAGAAACCCTAAACTATTAGGATTTTTATTCCTAAGTAGGACTGTCAGTCGAGCTGAGCGGCTCTCGACTCGGTTAGAGCTCGTCTGAAGCTCGACTCGGTAATTATCGAGTCGACTCAGCTCGAACTCGGTTTGTTAATCGAGTCGAGATCGAACACCGTGAAGCTCGGCTCGTGGGCTCACGAACCTGGTCTGGCTCGCGTAAACACTGTGCACTTACGCAGGGTGCTTTGGCATTTTTTAAACCATGAGGTATTAAACTGATATTTTCTAGTGAAAAAAGTTTAAAAAAATGACAGTTTCCCCCCCAAAGTGCAAATTCATATAACACGAATACAGTCAACACACCAAATCAATTTCAGTTCCCACTTGCCCTAAATCCCAAATCGCAAACAAAGAACCCCCAAATCACAAGATCAGATTGTGAAACACCTATTGAATGAAAAAACTCTAGTTTAGGCAAAAGGGTTTTCTGAGGATCGGCTAAGAGAAGCAGAGGGCATTTTCTAATAAGCTTAGAGATCTGAGTTTTTGAGAATCCATAATCTCTTAAAAGGGTCAAAACGGCGTCTTGTCTCTCATGGGATCGAAGCTGTAGTTTTTGTGAAGCTGAGATTGAAGCTTATGAGGACAACCCACATGAGTTTATGAGGTAAGTGACTGTGAAAGAGTTTTGTTGTTGTTGTTGTTGTGCTGGCGACGGCTTTGCAGAGATTTCAGCACTAATAATAATATTGACCCTGACTTTCAGTAATTTGAATATATAAAAATATGTAATACTCCTTCACAAATTATCATAATAAAGCCAGCTCGAGCTCGACTCGAACTCGACCGAGCTCGAGTTCAAGTCTCAATTCTGAGGCTCGCCAAGCTCGAGCTCGACACTATTATAAACGAGCCGAGCTTAATAAACCAAAAGCTCAGCTCGGCTCAGCTCAGCTCAGCTCGTTTACAGTCCTATTCCTAAGACATACCCTATTAGGAGCTATAACTTTTTATATAAAATTTTACATTATACTGTCTTTGGCTATGATTTGCTTTATATACCAATATAACTAAGATTTTTTTTTTTAAGGCTGTGACTGGTAAATAAAAATGACACAGATCTTTAGCACTTAATTTAAAATCTCATAAAAATTTAGATAAACAGGGAAAATTAGAAAGGTGCAACTATCACCAATTCTACTACAAATGGCTAATATTACAAAGAAGCCTTACAAAAAAATACTACAGCTAACATCTTCAACATCAACATTGCCATTATCAAAACTTCTGCTTCTTCGTGGCTCAAATGGCTAGTCAGATCTGATCCCTACTTTCACTAAACAGTCTCGCTGCATCCACAAGGCCATAATTCAACTGCAAAAAACAGAAGAGATAACTTCATGAATGAGATAAAATAAATAAGCAAATAAATGATGTTAGTAAGAAGAAGAGGTGGATCTTGAACATTACCATTAAAGCATGGGAACTTGGTTATTGTTTACCAAGGTAAAACGGGTACCCGCCCATTCCCACTGGTGTAGTTGGTGGAATTCCAATAGGGTCCTTCTTTAAGGGGACTTGTGGATAAGACATTGGAGGTTGTGTCGAATATTGTGCAGCTGCCGCAGGAGGACTTGCGTATGAAGAATTCGGGTATGATGCTACATTTTGAGGGTAATTGTAGCCAACGGGGGGAGTGTTGGCATGCACTTTTCCAGGCTGTGGGTAGCCGGCTGCCAAAGGTATGCCAGCTAAATTAATCATTGGTGGAGGTATTTGCGTCTGTACTGGTTTACCCTTGTGGGTGTCGGCAAGCTTCACAGTAACACTTCTCCCCTGCAACCAAACAATAAACATCAATACAAGGCTGCATAACTCATTTTTGGTTGGTGCTCAATGTTCAAAAATAAGATTTTACAAGGGACAGAGATTTATTTAACAAACTTTCTCTCACACAATCACGTATGAGGCAAGATATATTGAATAGAGGACTCGTTATAGTCACTTACCCCAAGAAGCTTTTGTGGATCCTCTATGGCTTTCTTAGCAGCCTCGACAGTTTTGTATGTGACAAAGCCAAATCCACTACATGTAAAAGTAGAATAAGATGATTATTTCCCACATACAGGTGACACTGCAAGTATTTAAAGACGTAGAATAAGATGATTATTTCCCCTAATAAGATGATTATTTCTCACAAGCATAGACAATTGTGGAATTATACCGTGAATCATTTGTGTCCTTGTCATATGCAACTGAACCTTCCTCAATCTCTCCATGCCTCCCGAAAAAGTTAAGCAGCATCTCTGTTGTGATCTCTGGTGACAAGCCCCCGATGTACAGCTTTCTCTGAGCTAGATCAGGGGTGGTCGCTCCAGTTAATCCCTCACAGGCTAAATTACAGACAGCCATCCGACCCTAATAATAAATGAATAAAAAATAAGAACCCTACAATGAAATTCAACAAATCCAAAAAGATGACGCAACAATGACATGGCTTCCAGGATGGACCTCTTGGCTTTACCAACAGAACTAGCTAATACCCACTGAAAATGATCATCAAAGTGAAAAAAATAAGATGACACAGGCAATTCCATTCATTAATCCAGGGAAACGCCCGCATGCAAATGATAAAGACTGGGTAAAATGCTTACATCAATCAATTTGCTTGGTGCTCTCAGTGCATTCTGAGTTGACTCCATATGTTTGTATGTGATGAAACCATAGCCACGCGATTTTCCTGTTGCTTTATCATAGATCACAGCCCCTTCTTCTATTTCACCATGCACTTGAAATGCCTAGATGAAAACATACCCATATAACATTTAGTTCAAATTACAGTACTCAGACGCCTGTGAAGTCCTTAAGAAAGATAATGGAAGGAAGATGTTAAATGATCAACAAAATTGTGAAAAACAGAGAGAGCAATGAATGGACTGATTCTCCATATTGATTAATTTTTTTAAGTTTCTTTTGTCTGCCAAAACTCATATTGTATGGGACAATCACCACCATGGCACACAAAACACAATCAGCAATCACTCACAGCACACAAGGTTTCTGAAGTGGTATTCCAAGCTAAGCCACGAACAAAAAGCTTTCGATGAGCCGGATCTGCACTGGCAATACTTTTAATTTCTTCTGCAATTGAAGGATATTGGGACCCTCTTTATGCGTCAACATGCAAACAAACACACATGCACATTGTCAATCACACAGCATACAAATTGGAGCAACAAGCATATGCCACCCATTCACTTAACACAAGCACAAAGACCCCAGCAAAATGACCAGTAAACACAGGAAAAAACGCACAAAGAGAAGACAACAAAAGATAACACGATGGAACTAACCACAAGTTAACGACTCACTAGTAGCCTAGACCTACTACATATATTCAATTATAAATACACACAAAAGTATAACAGCACACTTTTAAATTATTTTTTTGGTACTACCGCTTTCAGTCGGTATTTCAAAACAAGTGAAAGTTTGTAAATTTTACAGCAACATCAATGAGAAAATAAAAACACTTCATAAAAATTTACAAAAGAAAAATTACACGAGCCATAAAGTTATGACCCAAATTACACGAGCCATAAAGTTATGACCCTTTCTCCAGCAAAACATAATAGTTTACAATTCCACACAGCTATAAGTTATAACTAACAATCGGAAATTCTTTTCGATGCATTCTGACTCTAAAAAAATTTCATTTTACTCGAATCAAATTCTTAATCAGTTTCAATTAACAATTAATTAAAAAGCAAATTAATTTGAGCTTCTGATAACCCAGAAGAACCCTAATTTATCTAAATCAAAACACAACAAAAGTTCAAAACTTGGGGCTAATATTCAATAACAGAACAAAAACCCTAATTTATCAAATTAAAACCTAACCACACAAAATTTAACCAATCCGAGACAATCCCAGATGCAAAATACGCCGCGTTTAAATACCCACAAAAGCGAAAACAAGAAAAAACAAAAGAGAGAAAGAGAGACTGAGAACGTACACTCTAGAGAGAAGCTCGACAAGCTGAGGCTTAGAGAGAGGTTCAAGTAAAGAACGCAAGTGCTCTTGTGAAGATGAAGACGATGATGATGTGGCAAGTTGGAGACCGTTATTCATGTCCTCCATCTTCCTCTTCTTCATGTCCTCCATCGCCCACTGCGAGTTTTGTGACTTCTTTTGTGAAGTGATAGAGATATTATCATGTACAGTAACGGTTAATTTCGTTCAGGGTGTTTGGTTACAGGTTTAGAGATTTTTTAGGGTGAGATTAGGTTATACCTAATATGTTATTGCTTTATAAATAAAATAAAGTCAGCACAGAATAGGGAGTTTTTGAATTTTGATAATTTTATAAATGGATTGTTGTATATTTGATATTTTTAAGGCGAGTTTTTATTACAATACATTTTATTTTTTTATTTTTTTTTCAGTTCTTTTCTAAATTTCATGCTCAATTTTGTATGATTTTGACAGTTCTCATTCCGAGGCACCATCATAAATTTCAGGTGCATTTGAATGCTGCAGTCGCACATCCGTCCTTTTAAAGGATCTTTCAGATATTGTAGTTGACTTATAAATCCTACTCTTTCCATTTCAAATCGAAGTTTTTGCAGATCTAACAGCTCTTTGTTGCAGTGTCTTGTACCAAGTGCAGATCATAGCTCATGTGTTAACTAGTTCACTTGATCTGCTTAACTTTCTCTCATGAAATATGTTTGTCGAGTTCTGTCAACTTATAGTTGTATCGTCCAGTACAAGTATGATTTGTAGATTGAATTTTCATCACTTTTATTGTGTGTATTTTGGGCATATTTAGGACCTAGGGTCGGCTGATTATCAATACAGACTAGACTTATTTATCTTAATTGTGTGATGCAAAGTTTTAAAACCTAATTTGGCCTGGCCAATTAAACCGTTCTAACCGGGACCTAGGGCCTTGGTTGTGCCGAGTTCCCAATTTCAACTATTCATAACTATCAAAACAAGCCCTAGATTTATAGACGGCGATTTGCGAGAAATTGGTGGCTAGGATGTTAAGGTTTTTCATGAAAAATGGCCGGTGAGTGAAAAGATGGCAACGTATCTAATTTTCCGTGAATGAAACGACCGAAAATCGCAAAAATAAATCAACGACAACAAGAAGTTTTGGTCAGAAGGCAAAGAGGAGAGTTTTCGTGGTGATGGAGTGTGTTTTCGACACCTAAACCAAACCGTATTTAGACTAGGTTGTCGATACCAACAATGTAATTTAGAGTATTTTTATAGGATTTCAAACTTTTAGAGACTTATGTGTAATTTGTAAGGATTTTTGCTAGATTTCAAACTTTTTTCCATACTGACATCACCGATTTAACCCATCGATCAAACCGCTTCAACTGTTCAACCTAGGATCCGACCACTTTGTCGGGTTTTAAAACCTTAGTGTGATGTTTTCCTTACAATTATCATTATTATTCTTTCACACTGCATAGCCGATGTATGTTAACTTGATTGCCTGTCCTGCATAGTCTGAGAAGTTAATTAACATATTAAAATCCTGCTAATTAATTAAATAGACTTATTACATTTCTTTGTCATTAACCATTATAACCCTTCTTTTATTGTTTTATTAATTAATATGGTAAATTTTTTCTTTTCTCGAGCTTCTTGTCCTTTCGACATGGCTATATATATATATACCTCAAATTTATGATTTCCAAATTCCAATCAAAGTCAATATTAGGTTAATTAAGCTTGTGCACGATTTTTAATAAAAAAATTTGTCTCTCCCACCAACTTTTTCCCTTGATTTTGCAAGTGAGAAATTTTTCCACTACATATTTAAATAATTTACATTTATCTTATTCCATTTCTTTTATTCTATTGATTTTGCAAGTGGGAAACTTTTCCGCTACATATTTAAATAATTTACATTTATCTTATTCCATTTCTTTTATTCTACTCCTTCGTCTCTTTCTTTTCTTTTGTAGGACAAGACAAAGAGCGACTTTTAATTTGAAAAAATAAAACACCCTTAAAACGACTTTTATATAAAAATAAAATGAGTAATTAATAGGTGTGTAGGAGTGTGATGTGATTGACCAAGATCTTTCATACTCCCTTTGTTTTTATATAAAAGTCGTTTTAAGAGTGTTTTATTTTTTCAAATTAAGTCTCTTCTTGTCTTGTCCTGCCAAAAAAAAAAAAAAAAAAGAACAACAACGAATGAGCAAAATAAAATAAATGAAATAGGACAAATGTAAATTATTTTAATATACAGTGAGAAAGTTTCCCACCTGCAAATTCTTTTGCCACCTACAAAATCAGGGAAAAAAGTTGGATAGGAGAGAAAATTTTTTTTTATTAAAAATCATGCACAAACTTAAATGACTTTTATATAAAATGGGAGGGAGTAAAATAAAGCAAAAGTTAATAAAACCTTAATTAATTATAAGCATCATTATCTCATTTAACCAAGCTGGTTACGTACAAAAGTACAACGACATCATGCCAAAAATTTGTTTCATGAATTTGACCCACATAAACACAATCCGAATCAGGGGTTAATGAGACCTACGAAAGCAATTCTAGAAGTGATAATTTTTTTGTAAAATTAAAAATAATTAAAGCTAAAGAGTTCATAACATTAATGAGAATAAAACATAGTGACGGCATAAGAAGTCAGTTGTTTCTTTGCATTTTCTTCTACAATCACTATGATTTCTTTTACAGAAATGGGAAAATGTCTTATGAATTGATTAATTCCACTGCTCACTTTATCCTCTTTCGCTTCACTTATTTTTAATTTATGACTATTTTAATTCAGAGTTTACTTCTACACTTGACTTAAAAATTAGCATAAAAGGAAATTATTAGTCTACAATTCTATCGTGACGTTACACAACTTGACAATATGCATTGTAGTAATTCATTACAATACGAAGTTTTTACCCAAACTTTTTTTGTAGTTTGAAACTTCTACAAACTACAAAAGCAATTATAAAAGTTTCAAACTGCCAAATTTTTGCAGGATTTTAGTGAACCGGAAGAGACATAAATGGTTTGTGAATTGTGACAGCCAACATTACACTCATGTTTGCATTCACTAAATAGAACAGTAATCGAAATTTGGCAGCTTGAAACTTTTATGGACTTCTATTATTGCTTTTGTAGTTTACTTAGAAAACTACAAGAGAGAGAGAGAGAGAGAGAGAGAGAGAGAGAGAGAGAAATCTAAGACTCTCTTTATTTATTATTTTTAATAATATTTTTAAAAAAGTTTAGTTGGATTGTTATTACGAGATGGGATTTAAAAATTAACAAAAACACTCCCAAGGTTTGTTAATTTAGCTAAACACCCCTTACAATAAAAAGTTTATAAATTGACAATAACACCCCCACTCACCCACATTTGCAAGATTCCGGCCACCATAGCCAGAAAGTGCCTAGAATCTGCCGTAATAGCGCACTACTTGCTACCAATGGCCGATAGTACACCGATCTAGCTTTTTTCGACCAGATAAACTGTGGATCTGGCTACAAAATGCCAGATCTATAGCTAGATCTTTGGTCACATCTGGTCGTCAACGACAGCCAAAATATAGCTGTCGTTGACAACCAAATGTGGCCAAAGATTTGGCCATTAACGACTAGATCTTTGACCATAGATCTAGCCTTTTCCAGCCACGTCCATAATGGAAGCCGGAGAAGGTCAGATCCAGCCAGTCGTGCGTCATTCCTACGACTTCCGGCTACCCTCCAACAGTGTTGGCCGGTTACCGACATTTAATGAGTAGGTAGAGATGTTTTCGATAATTTTCAATGTTTTACTGTAAGGGGAGTTTAACTAAATTAACAAATGTAAGAGATGTTTCTGTTAATTTTCAAATCTTAGTCTCGTAATAACAACCCAACTCAACCTCTTCAAAAATACTAGTGAAAATACTCTAATAAACACACCCTAAACTACATTCATTGAAACCAATATTCAACTATTCATCAACACGCCATGCCAAAAATTTTTTTATACCTTAAGATAGTAGTTTCAAAATTCATGGCCACTAATGCCTTCTTATAATATTCCCGACATGCCAAAAATTTGTTTCATGAAACAAATTTCAACAAGCCACAAATTTCTTTGGCCACTAATGCCAAAGATTTGAATTCAATTTCACATTTGACCACACAAAAGTATACCTTAAGATAGGCAGAGTGAAAATTCATGGCCACTAATGCCAAAAATTTTGTTTATATCTTAAGGTACAAAAGCAATGGGACCTGCAAAATTATACATTAGAATTTTATAAAAAATTCACCACTTGTATAATTGCTTTTGTAGGTCCCTACTTCCGGATTGTGCAGACGTGGGTCAAATTCATGAAACAAATTAAACTTTTTTTTTTATCTAAATTAACAATTAATTAAAAGCAAATTAATTTGAGCTTATAATAACTCAGAAGAACCCTAATTTATCTAAATCAAAAAACAACAAAAGATCAAAACCTGGGGCTAATTTTCAAGAACAGAACAAAAACCCTAATTTACCAAATTAAAAACCTAACCAGACAAAATCTAACCAATCCGAGACAAACCCAGTTGCCAAATTCGCTGCGTTTAAATACCCACAAAGCGAAAACAAGAAAAGAAAGAAAAGATAGAAAGAGAAACTGAGATCGTACACTCTAGAGAGAAGCTCGACGAGCTGAGGCTTAGAGAGAGGTTCAAGAAAACAACGCAAGTGTTCTTGTGAAGATGAAGATGATGATGATGACGTGGCAAGTTGGAGACCGTTGTTCATCTCCTCCATCTTCCTCTTCTTCATGTCCTCCGTCGTCTACTCTGAGTTTTGTGACTTCTTTTGTGAAGTAGTGGTAGAGGATTATTATGTACAGTACGGTTAATTTCGTTCAGGGTGTTTGGTTACAGATTTAGAGATTTTTTAGGGTGAGATTATGTTACACCTAATATGTTATTACTTTTTTAAAAAACAAAGGCCAAACAAATTCACCTACCCAAGGTTTGGAGAAACCAGATTGGTACCCAAAAGGTTTTAAAACGACAAATAGGTACCTTTCTAATGGTGAAAAGACTAGAATGCGCTTGAAGTTTGATATTTTAGTTTTTTAAATATTTAAAAAACCCCCTAGGTTTAGTAATTTAACTAAATACCCCAATACATAAAAATTTTATAAAATAACAAAAACACCCCCACCGCCCGCATGCCAGATTCCCGCCACCACCGTCGGAATCTGCCAAAAAATTGTGTTACACCACATATTGGTCGGATCTGGTGGATAAGGCGTTGATATGACTTTTTCCGACCAGATCTACCACGGATATGGTCGAAAAATGCCAGATCTACGGCCAGATCTGGCCTTTGATGGCAGCACACTCCATCTTTGGCCGTCGCTGACGGCCAAAGATGTGGCCATCGTTGTCTGTCAATGATGGCCAAGATTTGTCGTCGTTGACAGTCAACGACGGCCATTTCCTTGGCTGTCACTTTCCGGCCAAGTCGGTGAATTACCGGCCATTTACGGTGTGACGTAGACCTTTGTAACAGATTCCGACTACCACCGGCAGTGGCCGCTGGAATCTAGCAAGTATGGGTGGATAGAGGTTTTTTTGTTAATTTTTAAACTTTTTTCTAGGGGTATTTGATGAAATTAATAAACTTAAGGAGTTTAAACGTAATTAAAAAAATAGACAATATTTCTCAAAGGGCATTCTAGTCTTTTCACTAACAAAAGGTATCTGTTTGTCGTTTTGAAACCTTTTAGGTACCAAACGGCGTTTTGTCCGTTAGGCCAAAAAAATTATATATAAAATAAAGTCCGTACATAAAAGTTTTCGTATTAAAAAATATATATAATATATTTTAATAACAACAAGGGCGTTTCCCGTGTCATATAAAACAATCTCACATAAGGGCGTACTAGTAAATTAATCAACGTAAAAGGAATTACACGAGAGTGTGAGATAATTAACAAAATTAGTGTTTAGTGCCCTGGGTTTTCTCTATAACAAGTAGTGTTTAGAGCCAAGAAAAAACCACTCCGAGTATGTCCAATGCTTGAAGTTGAACCATTGCAAAAATATGTACAAAAGCAATTCAAGCCAAACATAAAACAAGGTTCCGATAAATTGAACACCAATGACTTTAAGTGATCCGATGTAGCTTTCCCTGAAGTTTATGTGTTTGCCGATTGTGATGGTAAACTCAGGTGGTTATGTTGGCCTTCATAGGTAACAATAAGCATGGATGGATCATGCTTCCTTGAAGGACAGCCTCTCATGCTGCTACATTTATAGTCCCTGCACAAATTAAACAAAAGGCTTCAAATTTAAACTATGTTTCTTGATAATTAAACTTGAAAATGACATTTCTTTAAACAAGGTTTACCAAATACACTTGAATTGCACCTACATTCTTACAGATAACCAAACTATACTATGAAAAACAAACTTCCCCATTTGACACCAGCAGTTTTGTTTGAATATCCATAGCAAGGCAATAATCAATTAAGTAAAAATAAAGCCACCACCTAAAACCATTCAAATAGCGACTGTTCCACATTACACCTACTTATAATCCAACGGTAACAACTGGCACAAAAGTAATAGCATGGCTACTTACAAGGGCATAAACAATTCAGCCTAAGTTACCAACCACATGAGAATCTGTCATATTAGTAAATCTATTTTCGCACTAACAAGAGACTTGGCAAGACTTGGAAAAGAGAAATTAGGAAAAATAAGAAAACTTTTGAAGAGATTGAATAAATTATAAGTGAAAAATTTTGGGTTTTGTAAATACTTGTACCTGAATCTATAATCTGTTTCATTTTGTTTAGATGACTACAAATTCTTAAGGTTTGTATTTGCTTGTAGCAATATTTCAATACATATGACAGATTTTTATGTGTTGATATATTGCTAAAAGCAAATACAAACCTTAAGAATTTATAGTCACCTACACAATGAAACAGATTATAGATTCAGGTACAAATATTTACAAAACATTTTCCACTTATAATTTATTCAATCTCTTCAAAAGTTTTCTTATTTTTCCTGATTTCTTTTTTCCAGCTTGAATTTCAATTAACTCTCTTGAGACTTCTGTCATTGTTGGTCTTCTCCTCCCTGCGGGGTTTAAGCATCGTTTTGCGAGTTGAGCAGTTGCAATAATCTCATGATCTTTAACTTCCTGATTCATCATTTGAGTATCAAGAATCTCATAAAGGCAATTCTCCTCCATAGCACGAATGAAATGTGATGCCAAACCTATATATTCTCGCGTCACTGCTGAAAATATTGCTTTCTGTCCTGTTAAAAGCTCAGCAAGGAGTACTTCAAAACTATAGACGTCACTTTTATCCGTGAATTGGCCTGATTGAAAATATTCTGGGTCCAGATACCCCCGGGGTCCCCGCTACAGCCTTTGTGCTCTCATGAGTTTTATCAAAGGAAATTATTCCACAAGTTCCGAAGTCTTAGTTTCGCTGTGTAATTATCATCCAAGAATATATTAGTCGACTTGAGGTCTCGATGGCAGATGACTGCATGAAGTTCTTTGTGCAAGTATGAAAGACCGCTGGCAACTTCTTTGGCAATTCGTAAGCACATATCCCATGTGAACTGGAAATTATTGCTTCGATCATGAAGATATTGGGAAAGGGTTCCATTGGGCATGTATTCGTAAACTAATAAAGGAACTTCAGTCTCCAAACAACAACCCAAGAGCTTCACCAAATTTCTATGATGAACTTTTGAAAGAATAACAACCTCGTGAATGAACCATTCAATATTCCTGGTATTAACTAAGTCAGACTTCTTTACTGCAACAATTCTTCCATCTGTCAACATTCCCATATAAACAGTACCTTGTGATCCTCGACCAAGTGTTCTATTCACATTAAAATGGTCAGTAGCCTTTTCCAGCTCCTCTAAACAGAACAGTTTGAAACTTTCCATGGACGAAGACGAAAATGTTTGTACAATAAGCAAACCACCATTCTTTATGAAGAATTTCTCTCGGAGCTTATACTTTTTTCGTTTCCTAATCATGCTGCAGAACAAACATGTCCCAAAAAGTACAGCTGAACAAGCTAGGCCTGCAGCAACAGCTGCAGAATTGAATTTTAATTAGAAAGAGTTGTTTATTTTGCCGCCTTTAAAGTGATAATTTTTCAAAAATCTTAAAGTTTTGAGGTTCAAGCTCTAGAATTACTAAATGAGTTAATGGAGTCAAATAGGGTTCACAATATATAAAATTTGATCACCACAAAAGAGCAATTAATGAAAGGATATATATATAATGTGTATATATATGTGTGTGTATATATATGTGTGTGTGTGTTCATGGTTATCCATTAATTTAATGTAATATATGAATTAGAAAGAGAATGAAGTTAGTCATTTTAAATGCTTGACCAACAACTTTTAAACTTTTAGATTATTGTAAATTAAAAGTTGGTAATTTATATTACAGTTTTGCATCAAACTTTTTTGTCGCATACTATATACGGAAAGGCTGTCACCTTTTAAATATTATCAATTAAAAATTTAAGGCTCGAGATTTAAGATTCATTTTACTCTCACAATAGATGGCCAAAGTTTAATGATATGGAAATATATAAAATAGCATTTCCTCCAAACAATTGTCAAAAAAGAATTTAAAAATTTAGAAAATAAAGAACTCAAAACAATGTATAAATTTTTCCCCTTTCTCTTTTTTATATTGAATTATTACAATAAAATACCAGAAAGAAAAGGTTACTTGTTGGGTTTTAGTTATAGTATTGGTTGAATTTTATTTGATGGGAAAAAAAAATTATTCGGCCTATGCAATAGGTTCCAATGGAATAGCTATGAAAATGTACAAGTAAAAGTAATGGATAATAAAGTAGAAAAAGAAGGAACTATGAAAATGAGAGAAATATTGGTGCGTTTGGTTTATTATTTTGGATAGGATTTTGGGAATAATATTGGGTAATTGAATAGGGGAGTATTACGAGGTAAAGTTTAAAAATTTATAAAAAAACCCCTAGGTTTACTAATTTAATTAAACACCCCAATATATAAAATGATAAAAATACCCCCACTACCAGCAGTACTAGATTCCGGCCACCACCGCCGGAATCTAGCCGAAAAATCGTGTTACGACACAGACCGTTCGGATCTATGTCGTAACGCGTCATTATGGCCTTTTCGGGCCAGATCTACCATGGATCTGGCTGGAAAAGGCCAGATCTACGACCTGATGTGTCCGCGACGGCCAGAAAAGGCTAAAACGACGACCATCTTTGGCCGTCAGCGCAATGGCCAAAGATATGGCCATCAGCGCGACGGCCAAAGATATGGTCGTCGTTTTCGGTCAACAATGGCCAAGATTTGCGACGGCCAAATTTGGCCTTTTCCAGTGGATCTGGCTAGAAAAAGCTAGATCGGTGAATTATCGGCTAGTTCCGGTTGGTAATTCACCGTTGTGGTAGATTCCGGCTACCACCGACGGTGGTTGCCGGAATTTGGCAAGTATGGACCACGGGGGTGTTTTTGTTAATTTTTAAACTTTTTTTAGGGGGTATTTAATGAAATTAATAACCTTATGGAGTCTAAAAGTAATTAAAAAATATGGTAATATTTTTGGAATAACGTTCGAAACATTATTTGGAGAATAGGATTGAGAATATGGGTAAAAATAATAAGCCAAACATGCAGTATTAAATCTATTAGATTAGGATTTCTTTTCCTTGCGAGACATTAAATTCTAATGGGACACGAATCCTTTTTTCTAGGATCACCTGTTAACTAAGGATTAAAAACTTTGCTATCCTATTTACATTAAATTATTATTTTGTGTATATACACTTATTTAGGATTTCTATTCCTTGAGGACTTTGGGTTCCTAAAATCTTAAGATTAGAGTACTATAAATAGGTGATTTATTGAATCTTTTGTAAGTAATTCATTAAAAGGTTGTGGGTAGTTTTTAGGTAGAGAGAGTGAGAGATCCATAATATTGTATTTGTCTCTTGTTCTAATGAAGTAAATATTTCTGTGTTGCGTCCCGTAAACATAAGCATATTGCCTAACCACGTAATTCTTGTGTGTCTTCTATTTTCTTCTCTATTTCCTTCTTTATTATTCTTTCCTTGAGTGTTCTAATTTAAACATATTAGTTATGTATGTGTTTGATCAAATATTCTGCAACAAAATCTTGACTCTTGAAATATTTAAATGACTGATAACATAAGATGTTTAAAAAGTAAGAATGAAAAAGCATGGAAAAACAAAGGAAAGGATCCAAATCGTCTATGTACATGTGTATAACTATTGAATTCTTTTCTCAGTTTTAGATGCAATAAAGCTCATTTATAGCTCAATACAGGTTGGTTTGGTTGGTTAGAATATGGTGATGTTCGCCCCACAGGAAGTAAAGTTGTTAAATATTATTATCAATTGACGACAGAAACTAAACAATGCAATATATTGATTTAGCTTTAGTTAATATCAATGTGGAAAAGGACATACCTAGAATGACTGTGTCAGTCTTCGAACTTTTGGGTGTGAGAGAAATGCACTGGTATCCTCCCATTAAGTTCTTGCAAATCATTTTTGACCCGCATATGGTCATGTTCGCCCGACATTCATCAATATCTGACATACACAACCAATAAAATTAACAAGACTTGCTGTATATTAATGAAAAGAAATCAACTTTAAGCATTAATCAACTGGTATTGAATGAAATTTACATCTTAGCATTAATTGTTTCTTAGAAAAGTTTGACAGATTTTATCAATATGATACATTTTACTTTAAACTGCAATTAATTTTTTCAAATCAAAGATATGCATCCAAACAAATCTTTATTGATTAAATCTTGCATTTTGGCATATTGCCACTAGTTAAGTATTTGAAAAAGAATTTAAATAAGGCTAAAAAGAAATTTAATTACCTTCACATCCTTCCAAAACGTAGGGATTCCCTTGAAAGCCCTTTAAGCACTGACATCGAACAGTTGGAAACTGACTACTAGAAGAGGTAGTGTTGTCAGAAATTTCGCAGTAAGAGGTAGAATTATGACTCATGGATTGATTACTTGCAAAAAAGTTGAACGACGAATTGTATATCCCCCAATCCAATACCACAGGAACTTGAGTCATATTTCTAATTTCTTGAGGATTCTGCAAGTTTTTTTGGAACCATTGTTGGTCTTCCAAACTGGCATATTTGCATTGCTGTTGTCTATCTCCATTTGTGCTATTTGCAGAAATGTTAAATGTTAAATTTCTTGAAGGACAATGGAAATTTTGCCTGGCAATAACTATTTTCACCTGCATTACTAGTTCCGTTACAGGTTGACAAGCAACCACCAATAAACGAATTATCATTGGAATGAAATACAAACTCCGCGCAACCAACGCCAATGAACCTGTTGCTAGTTTCAGAGAACACAAAGGGGGTTTCCTTCAAGTTGACAAATTTACCAGCAGTTTCATTTTGATTACAGGAGTTGAATACTTGATAACTTACGTGCACTGTGCTGGCTTTGATTGAAATTTCAAGCACTTGTAAATTGTTTCTTCTGATAAATGGCTTGCTGAAGTTGCAATCTATTGCAAACCAATCGTCAATATAACAGCCAGGTTCAATTCCGAACGGAAAAGGGATTGCAACATTCCCGCATCCGCGAGTACAATGAGGCCTTATTGGTAATCCATGAACTTCCGCCAAGGCAATCACTGCCCATGGTACTAAGATAATGAAAAACAGCAAGTGTAGAATCATTCTTCACGCTCCCAGTGCCCTTTCTTTTCGCTCTGTATTTACTGTGAGTATAAAGTAAAACCGAGCAAAATGAGCTTCATATTTGAAAAGGAAATAGATGAATTATGTATATTTCTTCACACTAACCCTTTTTATTTTTTCTATTTAATTGGTTAATTATATATACTAAAAAGCTATTATAATTCCCAAAAGGAAAAGAGAGATGGAAACTATAAAGGGCAAAAGTAACATGAACTTTACATCCATGCACAGTTTTCTTTGACTCAAGGTATACTACAGACATGTTTTTCAGCTAAGCTTTTTGGGATCGTGCACAACTGGAATGAAGGAATGACCTGACCAGAACTGGCAGGTAAACAAGCAACCTGCGTCGGGTTTCTCCTTCCCCAGCATAGAGAGACAGCGTCAGGGGTGTGGAAATCTGGTGAACCAAACCGGATATGGCTTATTCCTAACCGAACAGGTTTTCCAGTTCAAGGGATATTCCAAACCAAAATACCCCTTGAACCGGTTTCTAACCGAACCGATAATTCGGTTTGGATACCGGTTAACCAGTTTGTGAACCGGTTTTATAAAAGAAATGCAAAATCACACAAACCGTCACTCAAGAAATGCTAGAAAACAAACAAAACAAAGCAACTTCTTCTATCCAGGTTAGTTTCAACTTCCAAATAGACACACTAACACTTCAACATAACAAAGCCACCTACAGTATTAAACACAGCATCCAAATCTGAATTTTCATTATTTTCCAACTTTCCCACCAACCAAACAGATCATTTACGTCCGGAAAAACAGCCACAAACGAATTCAAACAGAGACACTTAAGATTACACAAGATAAAGATAATTTAAAGAGATTAAAAGTCTACAGCAGTATTACGAAATAAATAGACTCCAAGTTTGGATTTTTAAGTTATTTTCCCATATCTACCAGCAACCAAGCCGATGATTTTACTTCAGAAAAAGCATCAACAAACGAATCCAAACAAACCCACTTCAAATTACACAATATAAAGACAAATCAAGACACCATACAACATAATACACAACACAATACACAATACACAATACAGACTAACAGAAGTCGTGATTACTGCTTAATATGGAATCAAAGACGAACAGGGAATTGGAGAGTGGAGACGGAGAGGATGGGATTTGAAATGTCACAGTGGTGCTTTGGCAACGATGAGTAAATTGAGACATCGTCGCGTCGAGACGGCAGACGGCGGCGTCACGTGGTGGCTCAACGTTCAGGAGTTGGAGACGGAGAGGATTCAACGGCAAACGGGATTGGAAATGTGATATTAGGAATTCGGGCAACATTACAATGATAAACCCTTGCAGTGACTTTCTCTCACAAATGCGAGGTGTGAGCTTGTAATTGGACAGCTCATAATAGATCCGTGCGTCCAACAATGGATCTTACCTGACCAAATACGAACTATCACCTTACGTTTGTCACAAATATGAGGTGTCAGTTTGTAATCGGAAAACTCACAATGGATCCGTCTGTCCAACAATAGATCCCATGTAACGGCCCACTTGAGGTACGTAGTTAAGATTTTGTTGTATTACTTAAAGGTTCATTGATTCAGTTTTAATTGAGTTTGTATGTTGAGTTGGTTGAGTGTTTGCCCTGAAACTTTTGAAGACTTGGTGAAATGTTGTGTTACAGACTTCGCCGAGGCGAAGAATAATCTTCGCCGCGGCGAAGAGGTGCTGTAGCCCATGAAGTCGCTACTGGAGTGTTTCGCCACGGTGACGGGTCGGCTGAAAAGTTTTGTTAAGTTTTAGATATTTTTCCTCAAGGGCAATTTGACCATTCTACCCCTAATTAGCAGGAAAAGTGGGGAGTAAAATGTAAGAAAATTTCTTGGAAAATATGGTTGTATGGGGGTGTGTTTGTAAGGAATCAAAGGATATGGATGGAATTTCTAAGAAAGAGTAAGGGCAAAATGGGAATGCTTGTGTATAAGTTGAGCTAAAAGGGGTTAAGTGTATAGAACCCTTCATTTCATTCATTTCCACCGCCTTTTCCATTCTCTACTTCTTCTCAAATTTCCTTCAATCTTCCAAGGATTTCTAAGGACTTTTTGAGTAGTTTTTAGTAGAGTTTTAATCGAAAACATCCTAAGGTAAGGATTCTTACTTTAGATGAGAGTTTTATGATGTTTTGATTAAAGTCTTATGTTGTGGTTATTATTTAAAGTTGTAGAGAGAAATTAAGCTACCAAAGGAAAGGAGAAGTATTAGAGAAGCTATTTCCTCACAAGGTAAGTAAATCCAACCAAGTTGAGATTCAAGAAATCTTTTGAGTATAGATTTATGTATGTGTAAGTATGTTGTTGAGAAATTAAGATGAGATGGATGTTATTTATACTTGTTGTTGCATATACTTAAATATGAGAAATGTTGAGATTGCTTGATGTTGGGTTGAGTTTGATTGAAGTGGAATGAAGTTTTGAGCAATTTATAGAAATGTTTTCCTTTGATAGGGAAATTAGAGAGTATAAGGGAGCCTTTCTCCCATTTTGGATGATTAAAGAAAAGAGAAAAGTCATAGTTTAAGTAGAGCTCTATATGCACTTGAGTTGTATGATGAAATGTTCAAGAGAAGCATGAGTAAGAGTAGAAAGCCTTAATTTTTGCTGCATAGCATAATTGCATCTCATAAGTGCATTAATGAGTATGAGTCATCTATATGCATTAATCATGCATTAATTATGCATTAGAAAGAGAGAGTAGAGAAAATGAGTTTAAACTACTCTAAGAGTAGAGAGAAATAAAGAGAATGAGCACTAGAGAATAAAGAGAAAGTAGTGCTACATAAGATAATAGAGTAGGTTGTGCGATGGGGAACCCGTGAGTAATGGGTAGAGTATTCCCGCATGTATGCCGCATTGAGAGAGCGGCTTGAGTATACGAGAGAAGTGGTGTAGCCCGTGAGAGTGCATGCGGATGAGGGCTATACCCGAGTTTACCCAAGAGAGAGATTATGTACTCACATGGCTAAGGGTTCTGAATCCATGCATAACCGAGTCTGATCGGCTAGAATGAGTAAAAGTCATGGAGAATGGGAGTGAGTCCCAGCCGTGCCTCTGGTCAGATGGGGTCGTGACTTGCTAGAGAGAGTGTTAATAGAAAAGAAAGAGAAACATAGAGAGAGAAACCGATAGAGAAAGCAAAGAGAGTAATGGGAATTGTAAGGAAAGAATTAGAGAAGAGTTACAGGGATAGATGGGTAGAGGATTTACTTACTGAGCATTAGTTGTGCTCACCCTGTTATTTTTCATTTTTTGCAGGATCTAGGTGAGGACACGGTCAGATGGGCGTCGGCAAGCAAAGGGAAATGGCTACACTGTCCACCTTGTTTTTGATGCTTTTGTACATGATGTAACTTTTTGTGTAAAGAATGTATATGTTTAATAAAAGAAAATTTTAGGCCCAACTTTTTATACTATGTTACATGTATTTTACTATGCAAATTTTATGAGAATACAAGTAGAAAGCAGTCATTACATCCCACCTGAACAAAGGGTCAATTTGTGCGTATCTCAACTAATCTTCCAAAGCCCTCAAGTGGACAACCAAGTAAATCCTCTTAGTGGCCACCCTTATTAGTAAATCCAGGTGGATCGAACTCAAAATCTTTTGAAGTTTTGAACAATACACTCAATAGTCTTAGTTGACAGTTGGGTCATCCGATGGTGGTTTATTAGGGTTAATTTTGAGATCTGAGAATTGTATTGGGTAAAAGACTTTGATTGAAAATACGAGTCATGAACTTCATGAGTAAGGATGAGGGAACGAATTCTCTAGCTGCAAATATACCAACCTATTCAATCACTATCACTTCCAGTTTCTATCAATCAATTTAAAAACGAAAAACTATAGAAAAACCTTATCAGGAAATCATTCAAAGAAAATAAACAATAGTAATCGACAAGCTGAAACCATATAAACCCGAAGAGAGATCTTGGATTGTAAATGCTTAAATCCATGAAGTATTACCAAAAACCGTGTAGAAATGTATTAACAACAACTGAAGCAAAAGAAATATTTGAAATAATATTGATTAAACATAATAAAAGTAAATAGATATGTGAAGATATTCACTAATCCGCTTTTTTTGTTTTCATTGTTGAAAATTTTACCTGAACTAAGGAGTCGACGATGCAGTTTGGTTTTCAAAGGGACTGTGTTTATTTTAGGAGAACAGAATGAGAGTGATCAAGTAAAGCATGTTGGTATAAAGTCTACAAGCTTATACAGGTTTGTTTCAGCGGCCACACTTGACCACTGAAATAAAAGAATTAATTAGAAACATAATATTATAGGAGACTTGGACCGGCATCCAAATCCAACTAGTAAATTAGTGTGGAAGTTTCAAGTCCACAGGAGTAGTTAATAGTTAGTATGGAAATTTTTTGAAGTTAACGACTAAGTAAGCCTTCAATGGCTACCATTTATTAGTAGTTGTGGATATTCGAACTCAAAATCTCTTGAGTAATACACTCAAGAGTTTTAAGTGAACCGTCAAGCTACCTAGA